TTCTTCTTCTTCTTCTTCTTCTTCTTCTTCTTCTTCTTCTTCTTCTTCTTCTTTTTCTTCTTCTTCTTCTTCTTCAGCCCGCCAATAGCGGAGAGAGTGACGAAATTAATTGAGGTAACATCAGCTTGTGCCTCTTACCGTTCGTAAAATAAATACACTAATTAATCCTTTTTAAACGACCAGGCAATCAGATGTTTGTGTTATAATCGAACGGTAATGAATCCAAGGGACCTTGTGGTCTGACGGTTATGTAAGACAATTATAAATAAAGGTCATAATCACGGACATTCCCAACTTACAAAACGTTGAAGAAAAATCAATTGTCAGAAGAAAAAAAAATGGTATAAGTTTAACACCCCAATCAACACTAAAAAAGTTATTTAAGACAACTGTATGAGAACAGACAATTTGGTTTGTTTGTTTGTTTATTTTGTTTGAGTAAAGAAAAGCACGTCGACACAATAACGGTCATTTAGTGCTGGAAAAAAGTAAGACAAACAGACATAAATAACAGACGGAAACTAAAGAAGTAGGACATACCAGTCTCGCCCTCCAACCACCCGCAGATGATGTTTACACTGTAGTAGAAACTAGGAGTAGACTGACATGAGATATTTGTGAGGCGTCGTAGTGAAATCCGGTGTTCGTCAAAATAATGAAATTGAAGAATCGAGTATTTTCCCGCCCACTGGGCAAGTTTTATCTTTTTTTCTCAACACATGTTCATAAAAAATAACCCACATTTCTGTGAGGATTTTCAACAGGCACAAACATGTATTTTTGATGTTTCCAAGGACACTCAAACAGCTTGGCTTCTTTTTACTATGCCACCCAAGAAATACAAAGTTCTACCTGACATTTTGGTCGTTTTGAGTTACTAAGACTATGAGGTCAGAAACCATAATAATATTCTGCTTTATCAAAATCGTAACATTATTCTGAGTCGTTATCAAGATATTCAAATAATTGCATTCGAAAAACCTTGACATGCTATGAAATTCAAAATACTTTATGCCATTAGTGCTGAACAGATTGACCTTTGCAATTTTATGGAAGCGTCTGTCGATATAAAAATTAGGTTAAGTTTAGTAAGAGTTTTACGGCGCCCGTAACCACACAAGGTCATATGAGCGTGCACTTGACGTAGCCTACAAAGGAGGGTCATATATTACGTTACCAGGTATGTCTCCAAGCGTTGTGAGCATCAGGTCCACATAGTCAGAAGTGGCGAGCGGGCGGCAGAAGGACTCACACGTGTCTTCTGACGTCACGCCGCGGGTTTCATAGCCTGTTGCGAAAAAAATTCCAGCCACAGAGGTTAAAGCGTTCCACGCAATTTACTAATCGGCGCAATAGTAAGATTTTAACGCATTATGACGACCATATAGTTCTGGGCAATCTTAAGATTGCGCTGCGCGTTTTATCGATCGTATAACTGTATCATTCTTGTGAGCTCTTCCGTTTCATATCTTAATTTTGATTTTAATTTTATTTTAATTTTCATATTTTTACACTTTTGAAAATATACATATGTTCCTTGATGTGAGTAAAATAATAAAGATGCAAGTGAATTTGTTTTTAAAATTATTTTAAAAATATGAAATAAATTAAATGTACTTTTGTAAACTTTGAGGTTGATACCTGGCATTGTATCATTCTTATGAGCTTTTCTGTTTCATCCGTTAATTTTAATTTTAATGTTCAAATTTTTACATTTTGGAAAATATATGTGAACGTTCCTTGATGTGAGTAAAAGAATAAAGATGGAATTGAATTGTTTTCTTTATTTCCAAAATATAATATATTAACGCAATTTCCAGATTGCTGCGCAATTATACGATCGTTCAAACGCACAGCGCAATCTAGTTTGCCACTTGGCGATAATAATTGTTAAGAAAAATAAATCTAGACGAGAATTGATAGTGCACAACACCAGAATCTTGAAAGAAGGGAATAGATCTAAGTTTTTGAGCAGAGCATACACATAAATCTCTGGATAAAAACATTGGCAGAAAATTGAACAGTAATATTAAATAATCTCTAAGTTCTAATAATATCTGAGGCTTTGAAAAAAGGATGATGATGATGATGATGATGATGATGATGATGATGATGATGATGATGATGATGATGATGATGATGATGATGATGATGATGATGATGACGATTTGATAA